GCCCCCCCCCACAGAGGTGAGACAAAACCCACACGCAGCAAGGCCAGGCCGAGGGTGACACTCAAGCCCTTTATTTGTCCTTTGGCGGGAACACAGAGGAACCGGCTCAGGCTCCTGTTTGCTCGAGGCCAGCAGAGCCAGAGCAACTGTTGAGCTTGAGCCAGCAGCGAGGGCAGAGAGGAGAGTTGGGGGAGAAAAAGACGGGAAAAAAAAAAAAATCCCACCAGCCTGAGCGAGGTTAGAGGCACAGCAGGGCTGCGGCCTCTTGGGCTCAGCTCTCGCTGTCCCTGGAGCAGAGAGGTGCTTTGCTGCTCTCTGCGCTGGTGCAAGGAGGAAGGCACAGTGCCTGCTAGGCTCAGGAAGGTGTCCTGTGCAGCCCTGAGGGGGACGCTTGCTGCTGAGCTGGGACAGCTAAAGTGCCACTTACGTTATTGCTTTGAGAAACAAATCCACTTTGCTGCAGGGAGGCCTGGCGGAAGACTGAAGAGCCAGGCAGGGCCCTGGCTAGGAAGACAGCTCCCCGTCTGCTAGTGGAAGGCACAGATTGGTGCTGAGGGGGTGAAAGGGGCTGTACTTGGTGCCCCAGCCAGGAGCACCTCTGTGTTCCTTTTGCCTGAGGAGTTACGATTTGATCCATTGAGAGCAGAGCTCCTTCCTGGCCAAGCAGACTTGGCCCGGCCTCCAGGCAGGGCAGCTCCCTGGGATCTGCACCCCTGCAGTCTGCGGAGCCACCCAAGGACGGTGCTGGCTGCAGGACTATGGAGCAGCCTGCAATCTTGCCTGCGGGGTGTGAAAGGGGAGCAGGAGGGGGGTCTCCTGCGTAAGGCACTGAATGGCATTCTCAGGCTGGTACAGAGCAGCACCCTCTGCCACTCTGCTTGCAAAAAGAGGAAGTAGCTGGAGATCATGAAGAGCTGCAGTAGCCAGAGAAGCAGTTCTGCTGAAGGGCTGTGGGGTTGTCACAGAACAATCTTGAAGGAGCTGCAAGAGATACGAGAGGTTCTGCACCTCTCTGCTGCGCTGCAAGCCAGGACTAGGAGTGCCCAGTGCTACAGGGATGCAGCATTACCCTACGCAGAAGAGGCTCTCCGGAGAGCTAGCAAGGATGAAGTTCCCTTCAGCTACAGGAGACCTCATAAGGGGACAGCATAGCCTTGCCTTACTGCCTCTAAAAGAGCTCGGCCATGAAGCGAGCACAGAGACCAGCCAGGATGGGCAAACCCGCCAGACAGGCCCCTCGGGACAAACTGCGCAGCTGGAGACCACAGTGCCCAGACAGGAGTGCAGTACCTGGCAAAGTCAGGGGAGCGAGAGACGACGTGCTGGAACTCAGCGAGATTGATGGTGCCATCCTTGTCGATGTCAGAATCCTCCAGGATCTGCAGGGGACGGAAACGTGAGCAGTTGTGGCCAGGACCGTGTAGCAGGCCACGCCCAGGCTGACAGTACTCACGTTCTGGATGAGCTGCTCCATCTCCGCGTTGCTCAGTCTGGACTCCTCGCCTTGCCCCGTCAGACAGTTCACCAAGTTCTCCAGGTCCTTTTTGCCCAGAGTCCCATCACCATCAAAATCTTTGGGGAGAGCAAAGTTATGTCCCCGCAGGGCCTCAGTGGTCCCAAAGAGTCACAGCACCCACATTCAGATGGAGAGGGTCTGGACTACCTGAGGGTATGGCCGGCTCCAGGCTGTACCCAGCGGCGCTGGGGAGGTGGTGCACATTGTGCTAAACTAGCAGTTCCCCCCAGGGAGTTCCTAAAGCCACCGTCTCCGTGGGCACTCCGAGGGCACGGCCAGCCCTCACGAACAAGGCTCTGTCCCCCCACCACAGGGAGAGGGATCCCAGGACACAGCATTCACCCCCCTGCCATCGTTACCAAAGATGCGGAAAGCATAGTGGGATTTGATCTCTGAGGTAGCAGAGTCGCTGAAGACACTCAGCATATCAAGGAAGTCTTCAAAGGACATGCTGTCATCCCTGTCCTCTGAAGTGGAGAACACGTGGCAGATGCGGTGCTGGAAGGGGTTTGCCTGCCAACACACCGCGACTGCTCAGGGCGAGGCTGGGCAGCACCAGACCTGCTTCCTCGGTTGCAGGCTGGCAAGTCCCTCCTGGCCTCGCGCTGAGCACGCAGGCCGCTACCCCCTCTGGCAGCAGGTTCCTCACAGCGTTAGGACAGCTGCCCTGCGTCCCCGGGAACACGGCAGCACGATAGCCGCCCCACGCAGCAGGGAATTCCAGGATCCCCTGTGGCACGGCAGGGACAAGGAAGTTGTAGAAGGAGCTGACGTGCGGAAAGCGAGCAGCTTCCCTGAGTTGCTGTTACGGGCAGCGAGCTGAGTACAGCGCGCTGGCGCTGCCAGGGCCTAGCAGAGTAAACAGGGACCTGCCTGAACGCGCCCAGGAGCAAGAGTGCCGTAGCCGAGCGCTGCTTTCTCCCAGATGCCATACCCTCAGTTCCGGCAACGTCAGGATCCTGTCCTTGGGAATCCGAACTGAGCGGGCATTCTCCTTCTCCTCCTCTGGCAGCAGTTCACTGAACCTCTTGTAGGCACTTGAAGAGGCAAGAACAAGAGACGCTCTGTGGAGCGAGCGGCTCAGAGGCAGCCCTCTGGGCACGGGCAGCGCAGGCAGCTCTTCCCAGGAGCCGTGCAGGGAGGGGGACGCCCGGGTTCCCACAGCTCCCTGCCAGCTGTGCACAACAGCACAATGCTTGTACGCCTAGCCGGATCAAGGGGTAGGAGCACGCAGTCCCAGACGGTCCTGCCTGTTGGGCCAGCTTCCCCTGCAGCTTGCAAAAGGCAGCTTCCTCTGCACCGGCTCCTGCAACCGCAGCGTCCGGCACCAGGGGGGAGGGAAGAGCTGGCCCTGCTGCCCG